ATATATATATATATTAGATAAGTTATATTTTTAGCTTTAAAAAAAATCTCAACTCCCATCGTGTTTATCACTGTTGTCTTTCAACATCATGCTGGTTTACAGCCTTGTTGACGAAGGAAAGCCGAGAAAACAAAGACAACAAAAACAAAGAAAGGCGCACGAGCTCCCTTCTACACCTGTACTCACCGCTCGCTCCTGTCAACCTGCTTCACAACCTTTTAGTTTTCAGTTTGGCATCTTCTTCTTCTTCTCGGCCTTTCTGTCGCTTTATCCGCCTCCAAACGCTGAGTAACTTTATCCGGGGACGCTGTTTCACAATTTCAGCGCCCCGTTCGTCTCCTCCGGCCTGAACTTCCAGCGTTCCTGGAAGAAGTAAACAACAGACCACGTGCACCACCTTGCAGTGTCAGATTTGTCCCACAGAGGCGTGACGTCAGTGAATGCTGCAGTGATGCGTTCAGGGAACTTTCTCCTTTTTATTTTTAAACCGTGTAAAACACCTGCGAGGCAAATCTGGAGGAGGAAAGGCTTTAATAATCTCSGTGCCACTGAAGAAAACTACTTTTCTTATTGGTGATATGTTGGTTCATATTCTCACTCTTACAGAATATGGACTCTTATGTGTAACTTTGACTGTCTGTTTGCAAAATATCTCAGAAAATAGTAAATGGTTTGACTGAAACGCTCAAAAATAGGATGAGTTACAGTAAGTATTAAAAATAAAACAGTAACAAGGCAGAAAAAAACAACATAGGCCTTCACTGGTCCTCAGTAATGATCATTAAGGGCCACCATCCTGCGTGTTTTACTTGTTTTCCTGCCTTTTCAGCATGTCTACAAGTTCAGCAGAAGCCTGTTAATTACTCTTTTATTCAAAYCAGGTGTGTTGAAACAGAAAAACATTTAAAACATATAGGAAAGTCACCTTCAGTGTCCCGGATTGAGGACCATTGGGCCATACCATCCATCCATCCATTTTCTGTACACGCTTCTTCCTTTTCAGGGTCACGTGGGTCACTGGTGCCCATATCCAGCAGTCACAGTGCGAGGGGCRGGGTACACCCTGGACAGGTCGCAAGTCCATCACAGGGCCACACATAGAGACAAACGAAACAAACAATCATTCACTCTCTTGGGCCATACCAAAAAAAGGCTATTTAAAACTCCAGACATTGTTTAAAGGCTTTTGATTTTGGTTTATCACCCCAAGATTAAGCGGACCTCATTTATCCTCCCTTTGCAAAACCTTTGGTGGCCAATATGCATTCCATCAAGGAATGTCAGRCCTTTTAATCAAATCTACATYTTATTTCATGTAAAYAAACATTGCAAGTATAGAAATATATGCCTTAAGAATGTAAACMTTAACCAATTTGTACTAATTTACAGACATGCAAGTGCACAAACTGACAGGCTCAGTAGTAGCCCCATGCTGATGCAGCTTTGGGATCAAACTGATTATGGATTTGTGCCATTAAATTCAGATCCATTCGATTATTACGAAAAGCAGGTTTGTTCAAGCAGACATCCACTTAAAAGGAAAAAAAAAGTTGAAAAAGCACAGTTACATTTATTTATGAGAAATATTGGTGTGTCCCATTTGTACTGAGAAGTCAGAATTTAAAAATACCAAGTTAAAAAACTGTTTTTTCTAGTGAAAAAGTAATCCATATCATTTAAAAAAATAAGAAAAGATTTAACACTTTACAAGCACGTCAAAATCTCAGCTCAGAAATGCAGAGATTTCTATTAACAACTATTAATGTACATGTTTGTATAATGAACATGTACAATGCTTGTAAAAATGTGTCTAACATGTCTAAAACATGGAGAGAAAGTAGCTGCATTTATATGAGCATTTACATACAAACACACACAGCATATATAATAGTTAATTCATGGGTTATTAAGCATGACTAAACAATGAGCATGTTGGTTTGGGAAGTAATTAGCTTTTATGGGTAAAGCATTAATGTGTTGTTTTGTAACTTATTAAGCATGAATTATCCTTAATTAATGATAGTTTCAGGGTTAACTAACCATTTATTAATGTCTAAGTGAGACTAAATAAGATGTAGTTACTAAAAAGTGTTACCGTTTTTGTTAAATAATTGGTGCAAAAATACAAGTTTTTGACTTGGTGTGACTTAAGGTAGGATGGGGATGAAACACAAACTGTGTTTTTAATCTTACAGATGTTGCCAAATCCAGCAACATTCTCACATCCTGCAAGAGCCAACAGAGAGGATATTACAAGAATGACAAAGAATATTTAATTCAGCGGTAAATACACAGCAAATATCTCAATGTGGTGATAAACAATATCCGGAGAGCATAAAACACCGTGGAGGAGCTTAATATCAGGAGCCGATAGCCAAATCAGCTCACATGGGCTCAATGGAAGCCAATAAGCAGAGGCACTCTGCCTCTCTTGACCTTCACTTCTGGTTTAGATTGAGGCGATACAGCAGGCACAACCTCAATAAAAGCCGTACAATAGAGTAAAATAAATAGATATTAAATTTAAGCAGAGGCGATACCGGCCTGAACTGCTGCTGGAATTCGAGYACAAAAGATTCGTTGTGCAGTTTAATATCGTCTACAATCACCACCTCATGAAATTTTCTCCTAATCATTTCCATCTCCTGCCTTGATGTATCAACACAATATGATCATTCTGAGCTGGGACTTGCAAATAACTCGTGTGTGAGCAGTCCCAGTTAGATATTAAATGTGGTCTGTGCTCCGAGAGGTTGGCCTTTTCAGCTGACATTCTTATCACATTCATAATCTCTATTATTGCTCGGCTGGGGGGAGGAGTTTATTGTCCGTCTCACACAAACTTTTCATTTTGCACATTTTACTGTACGTACATTAAAGTCTCTTAGGAATAAGTTTGAGGTGTTTGCCTGTGTCTTTGTTTGTGAGTATCTAAACAAATTTTATTAAAAACATGCAGAAAATAATTGGTATGTCTTTAACGACTTAACTTTTAGAGCCAGTTTAATTCAAGGTGGCTACCAACCAGTCTTCAGAAAAACATAAATAACTATAACAGCTTTATAGATATTAGCCTAAAATTTAATATGGAAGAAAACGAGACTGATCCACAACAGATATACTGAGCCCCATGATTTGAGCAACTTTTAAAACTTTGCTAACTAACCATTTTGTGTCAACTCTGTCTGTTAGCAAAACAAGTAATGAATCTCATCAATTGTAATGAAATTTTCAGGAAAAATTCATTGGATGTACCTCTACGACTGATTAACTTTTGAAGACAAGCCAATTCAAGATGGCCATTACAGCTAACTGAACTTACAAACCACAAAAATGACAATAATTCAGACATTTTACAGATACTGAGCTAAAAATGAGTGTGGTTGCAGCTGAGAGTTAGTCACTATACTCTGGACAATCCTGGTCCTCGTCCTGGTCCTTGCACTTTTTTTCCCTGCTCCAACACAGCTGATTCAATCATTGAATTACCCGTTCAAAGTTCTCCAGAAGCCTGATAATCACCCATTCATTCAAATCAGGTGCGTTGGAGCAGAGAAAAGCACAAGCTCTTTGCTTAAAAGTTTAATATTACTTAAGCCAACTGATGGCAAAATCTCTTGCAGACCACTGAACATAATTTGAATACATTATAACACAAAAATGGCTATAATTAAGTAAAAAAATATAATTCACAACACATGTTTTAAGACAGGGGTGTCAAACTCCTGTCCTCGAGGGCCACTATCCTGCATGTTTTAGAGGTTTTCTTGCTCCAACACACCAGATTTTGATCGCTGGGTAATTAACAGGCTTCTGCCCAATTTGAAGAGTTAATTCAATCACTGAATCAGGTGTGTTGGAGCTGGAAAACCTCTAAAACATGCAGGATAGCGGCCCTCGAGGACTGGAGTTTGACACCCCTGTTTTAAGTGATACCTTGCAATTTCGTGTGAGTTTTTAAATGAGTTCTCAAAGTTTGACCAAAAACACAACTGTCATTTCTTGGCACAACAGGATGTAAAGATAAAAGTGACAGGTAATTTGCATTTTGTCAAGAAATAGTTTTGTATTGTCAGGTACAATTGAAACATGTACATTGTTATTTTCAGTAGGGGCCCTTTTCATGCATCGTTCAAGTGGCCCCTGAAGCCTTTTGTCCCCATCGTCCAAGTTAATGTAATTTTTACATAATCCACCTGAAGAGCTGCGTGAGAAGTGTTTCCAGTGTTTCTATAGCACATTTAGAAAACATAGTTTATATCCAAAAGCTTATTGTTTGAAGGATTTGCAGCCTCTGTGGAGGAAAAAAAACTAAAAATCTGGAGGGTGATAATATAATTCAAACGTCATGTTGATATTTATACATAATTCATTAAATGGAGGGYGGAAAAGTGATTTATCTCACAGATGATATTTCCATTTTTAATCCTCCGTATCATACATCTCATTTGCAGAAGTAATGACTGCGCGTCGTTGCTAATGCTCCGCTCGCCAATTTTTACTCATTTCCTCTAAATTATTAAAAAGAGAGATTCTCTATGGGCCTCTGTCTTGATTCATATCCACTCATTTCTGATTTTTTTTTTGTCATTTTACACAGAAGTATAAAGAGCTTAACTGCCTCAATCAAAGTGGGTGATTTAAAAAGTGTCTAATCAAGATGTTTAATGGAATTTGAAGTAAATGGTTTAAAAATATTCAGTGGCTCTTAATCTCCTGCATAATTAGGACAATTTTATGCATAAGAAAGAAACTGAGAAGAGTCTCGAACAATACAGATGAGGTGAAATAATCTCATGCTAAAATACAAAAGTAAAACTTTATAATTCCCATTATTTAACAAATCCAGTTGTGTTAAAAAAGACTAATTTTAGGACTGAGCTTAGAGCCATTTGTACGACTGGCCTGCCTCCGTAATAAGTTAGACCAAATAAAGAGGTAATTAGTATGCCAAAGTTTAATTGTTCAATTATCACTGGRTGTGATGGGAGACCTCGCTGCCATTTTGTCGTGTTTGAGAATAATGTTGAGCACCATGTGCCTCATGTTGTAATTGCCTGCAATTACGCTGAGAGCCCTCGACGGGAGCTGAACGATGCAGGCGGGCCACGCTGAAAAACCTTTGCTATCTGCCCGCTGCAGTGTATGCACCGAGGAGAGGGTCCGTTTAGCTTGAACCAGCTGGGCTCTTGCTGTGGAAAAGGACAGCATGACTGCAAACTGTAGGAGTACTACTGAGGACAACATGTTAGAATAATATTATCACAGAGTAAACAAGAAAAGAGAAGCTYGCACTCCTTCATGGTATAATTTGTACAAATTGTTGTTGCGATTCCCTCTGGGGAAATCTGAACCCTCTGCGTGCAGCTTTACCTCATGACTTCATCTTAGAATGAACTGAATTATTTAATTTAAAACAACCCATGCTAACATTAGCAGAACAGTAGCAAAAAGTTTAAATG